TATAACGTACAGAGATCACTTTATCCATCCCCAGCGTCGAAACAAGTTCGTTTACATTCTGTAAAACATGGTTCAATTATTACTACTTCTTTCTTCAACAAGTTTTAAGAAATGAGGATAAAAACAATTATTTAAAAAATCCAATTACAGCAAGGACGAGCTCACGTGCTAAGATAATTAGACAGGGTCACCTGAATCACTTGATTGTTATCCTTATCCATCTTTCCATCCATGCCACTAGTGGTTTGTTCAATTTCTTTTAATATGTCATAATTGACTTTGTTAGAGAGCTTCTTTTCCTTGAAAAAATCGATCAAAGCCTATCAACCCAAAGAGCAAAAAACATACATGTATTATTTTTTCCATTGCTTCGATGGCAGTATTCGAAGCAAGACTTTTCCTCGGAGGCATTGGGCGGCGGCGCTTTTTCTTAGTGGGATTATCCTTCTCCCTTTCCTCTTCCTCTTCGCGTTCTTTACGCCTTAAAAGCAGAGGTCAGCACAATACAATGATAGCATATTGTGAAGGGCAATAAACGGAGAAAATAACAGATTATCCATTCCTTTCTTCTAATGGAAAGATTAAAGCGAAACGCGCTTGCCTTCTCTCCATTTCCTTGAGATGTTCGCCATTTAGCTTCATCCAAAAACGTTCCTTTACCTCCGATTCCCGCGACGTCAAGATATATGTGTCAATCTCGTCATCATCGATTCCTAACAATCATTTAAACCAGCCTATTTTGAAAAATAAATAACTTAGACAAAAAGCGAACCCGTGAGGTCAAGTGAGCCATCTGGAGTGTCCTGCGGCGGAAGTGGTGCGTAATTTCTTGCAATACCGTTTGGAGTCTGAGTGATTCCGAGTGACTGAAGCGATGGAGCAAACCTGCTGTAGTTGTTTGTTTCAGGGCTGAAACAGTTTATAATTAACAATTACATTGATGAGGCTCCTAACCCCTTCTATAACACAAAGAGTTCAAATTGTGAAAATCGCGCAGCGGCACATAAAAAGACTTGCGGCAAACCCATTGCATTGCATACATTATAAAACCATTGCAGACACTTATAAAAAGTTGGCTACCTGTCCTCTTCTTCATCTACAGCTCGGAAAACACTATCCACAACTTCATCTCTAACTAGAGCCTCTTCCGCTGTTCCTACTTCTGGATCGTCTGTAATGCAACCAAGTAAGCTCTGATGAAAGACTGCCATGGGAGATTGAGTATAATGCCCATGAACAAAGTAAATGGAAATAGTTTTGCAAGATAATAAGAAGAATATGAATAAAGCCTTAAATAGAGAATGCAATATGGACAAAATTCAAAACATTGTATAGCTCGTTCAAATCCGAAATTGGCGTGACATTAGTCATCACAGAATTATGCGAATTTTGCGAATCTAATAGAATCAAATAATAAGATAGCTTGACAGAATCAGATTTGGAAATGAAAAGCTAGTGAAGTGGAAAAGAAAAATTTGCATTACCTATGTCACCCGCTACAATCTTCGCGTAACGAGTATGCTTGAACTTTTCTCTTCTTTTCATCTCTAAGGCTCGTTCAAGCTCCTCTTCGATAGGAATAATCCAAAACAAAGGGGTTTAAAAATTGAAAGGATTTCACAAGCAATGATCTAGATAACAGAAATAATTCATCAACATGAAAATCCAACCTCCTTTTCCATTTTAGCAGCCAGTTCTCTTTCTCTAGCCAGCTGTTCCTCGCGAGC